ATCACCACAAAGATAGCAAAACCATGTGTGTGTGTGTGTGTGTGTGTAATATAATATATGATGAAAGTGATATATAAATGAAAGCGAATATATTTGCAGCAAGCAGTTGTTCCTCAAGGCCTCCACACTTGAAAAGACAATCAAAACATTCCCTTTCCCACAGTCCTCAGCACTAAGCAGACTGATCTGATATGAAATCATTACGCCTATATGAAGAATCACCACAAAGATAGCAAAACCATGTGTATGTGTGTGTGTAATATAATATATAATGAAAGAGATATAAAAATGAAAGTGAATATATTTGCAGCAAGCAGTTGTTCCTCAAGGCCTCCACCTCCACAAAAGACAATCAAAACATTCCCTTTCCCACGGCCACAGTCCTCAGCACTAAGCAGACTGATATGAACAAAGGCAGAGGATGGAGGTGTGTGTGGCTGAAGCTCCAGCACTGGGTGTTGTTCTGCTAGCCATAACATGATCCATGGCTTTCTAATGGCTGGCTAAAGGGGAGCAAGGCAGGCCGCGAGCATCACTGGACCTCCAGCAGGACTAAGTGCTCATCTGCTCAAGTATCAATAACATTTCCCATCAGCTTTTATACACCAATACTGATTTTTTTTCCCATGCAGACACGGAACATATCGATGCAGACGCAATGGGCCTATGTGACTGTTTGCACGTAAGCTACCTGGAAGTAGATGTAAAATTGAATAAAATATCTCGCTCTCTTGTTACATGTTTCTCGTGGATTTCCCGTCCACCTCCATCGTCCTCTCTCTTCTCATCATTTCCTTTCTATTTTGTCCCCAGGACCAATTTGTCTGCTGTAAGAGAATTCCCTGAGTTCGGAGGAGTCGGTGGAGAAGGCTTTGGCAGTGGGGGGTGTGTGGGTTTGGGGGTGGGGGTTTAGGAAGGGCCACCTCCAAATAAGTTCCATTAATCACCCAACACACTCTAATGTAACTAATATTTTACAATTAGAGGAGACAAGACGGAGCTCCGAGCCATCTATCTCTCTTATACCACATGATCATCGATTCATAAGACCCTGCCTGAGAGCTGAGCAAACACACACACACACACACACTCTTGTTAAGTTGCACGTGTATGTGTGTGAGACTGTATGTGCTCGCCGATGATGAGCATTATGACACGGTGTGTATCCAGACGCCCAGAGAGCTCTCGAATGGTGACAGATGACTGTTGTCTGCGTGCGTGTAAATGAGAGAGGAAGAGTGCGCAAAAATGTGTAAAAATGTGAAAAGGCTGTCAAAGAACGTATGATAAGATTGATTACGGATTGACTGCAGATTGAAAATGGAAATAGAGTGCAATTCTCTCTGCAGACAATGCGTTTCTCTCTCAGATATCATTTAGTTGCCCTTAATGACAAGATATGCTAGTGTATAAACAGGCTATAATCCATGTGACTGAGACAGTGGCAGAACAAAAATATATAAGGTCTGAATGCTAAAATGTCTGTCACAAGCTCTCACATCATTTCTATCAAGATTTACTGATGTAATATCCATTTCTTGATTGTAATCTATTATATGTCATGTGTTGGTGTTCAAAGAGCGCAGTGTTCATCCTCCATTAGAAGCATTGTTGCTATAAGTTGGTTTATAGCACCACCTGGTGGTGTGAATTAAGAATTGCGTTTGCTATAGTATGCAGCCAGCATGCAGGCCAAATGAAAGCCAGCTGAACAAATGAGAGAGAAGAGAGGTTCAAGCGCAGGTCACCATCTGCCCAGCTACAAGTGCTGGCACACAGCAACCCAGCCGCGCAGTCCTCTTACTTAAACACATCAGCTACATACACACACTCACATAAATATGACACCAGAGACAGAGTGACACTAATGCGCTGAAATACCTTTTACAATACGTAAATGTACGCACACAAATATCCTTATTAATTATCAATATATCTTATAAAAATAAATATTATCTTGATAACTTTGTATGGTAACTAAACGATTACCAAACTCCAAATTAATACATAACTGATACATGAAATTAAAAAAAAGAAAGAAAGTAAAACAAAAACAAGCTGCTAATTCACTACATTTGAGTGCTGTGAAACCAGCCTAAACCAGCCAAGACCATCAAACAAGAGGGAAAAACAGTATGATCTAAAATAAACAAATGGTCAAACGCATGTACATATTTTTGGGGTAACACTTTATAATAATGCCTAATTTGTCAACATTAATGCATCAGATATCATTAACTAACATTGAAAATGTACTTTTCCCAGCATTTATTAATTTAGGTTGATGTTAATTTACTCATAAGACATCCATAATGCATGGACTAATGTTACATATCACTGTCCATAATTAGTTCATGATGTCTACCACATTACAAAAATGGTGAAGAGTACAACTAATGTTGTAAAGGGTAACACTTTAGTGTCCTTGTTACACGTTATGTACTCACTATATTAATAAAAGTAAATAAATAATCATTACATGCAGCTAACTAAACTAAACCAAACCCAAATCTAATGGTAAGTGCATGTTGTTAATTAATATTACTCATTACTTAAATGTACAGTATAACTACACTGTAACAAGAACTATACCAACAACCACATTACAGTGTAAGTATACATTTAAGTACAGAGTACTAATTAACTACACACACTTACTTTAGGGTTAGGTTATAGGATTGGGGTTTGATTTAGGGTTAGTTCCATGCAATTATGCATAATTTATAGTTATTACTACAGTAACTACTGTACATGTGTGTAACAAGGGTAAAGCGTTACCCAAAACTCAAACAATCTCGAACAATGTTACTAATTTTTTAAAGATATCATTAGATTTGATAAGATAATGTATATCGTAAAGATATAGCTTGACTTTCTTCAATTTCTTCACTCAACAGCTCCAGACAAGCTAGACACAATGAGGGGGTGCAGGGAAATGAAACGGTTATTTTTTCAGGATGTGAGTTTTATTAGGTCCAGGCCTTTCTCCATCTGGTCTAGTGTAGCTGATCCGTTTAAAAATTAGTCAGGCGTTGACCTCAGACACCTCCCCTCACCGGGTCTTGACGGCAGGTTAACACAAATATGGATCCCATCAGACTAAAGGGTATCAGGTTTCCCTCCACTGAGACCCCGCTAACCCACAGGAAAAGGTTAAGAAAAACATGAAATACGGAACTATAATGGGAAAATGTTCCCTCAGTCTGCGGTGTGTAAATGTGCGTGTGAGAATGGTTTTCATGTGTTTAGAGAGCAGGGTCTTATCTCTCTGAGGTATTGACACAACAGGCCTCTGTGCCAAAGGGTGTCAGTTTATCGCATGTCACTGGCCTACGTTGCGCGAGTGTGTGACGGGGCAAATCCATCTCTGAGAGAGGGAACGTCCTTGAGAGTTATGTCCTGTGCTTATATGTGTTTCTCTGATACAATTAATGACATCAGAGAAACAGCAGACATATGTGCCTATTCCACTTTCATTTCAGATCTTAGAAAGTCAAAATAAATAAATAAATAAATAATTTAGGCCACAATGCTGAATTGTATGTTTACATGGACTACAGAATATATTGTCTTGACTGAAAAAGTTAGAAAAGGCAAAGAGAAAATTGGAAAAAAAAATAAATAAATAAATAGGATGAGCATCAATTGGCACACTAGTTTCCAGCTCTCACAGGTTTGGGGAATTAACACGGCTATAGCCCTAGGGTAGAGAGCCACAGTTAGCAGAAACACAGCCGGTAATGCGAGCTGTCATAATCCGCACTGCTCCCGAGTCAGACACACACACACACACACACACACGCAGAGGCCTGTAGCCCTGCAGCTAACACCATGTACTACGCTTAACATGGGAGTCAGGGGTGCAGAGAAACATGGAGGACAAAGAATTGTATCATTTTTGCTGTCTATCGTACAAGTCCTAAGCTCACACGTGTGCTTAAATGTTGCCATGTGTCTCTGCAATTCTATTTGAGAGAGAGCTGGGTTTAAAATCTTGTTAAATCTCGATCATTTAATTGTAGCCCATAAAAGTCCTCTATGCTTATTGTATTTTGTCTTTCCAGTAAAATGTTAATATTCCTAAATGTTAACTCAAAAAGCAACATTTTGTCACTAAAAATACCTTCAGTGCATTTTGTGCATGTTGGTAGATTTTTTCCACTCACAATTATATACTGTATATATGAAGAGTTCAGATGCAAAACCCTCTAAATGCCATTTGAAATTTTCTTCTAAAATGACCATTTTTATCAAGCTTGCATATTTAAGTCCAGTAATTTCACTTAAATGGCAATTAATAGGTAATCTTCATTGCAATGTAAGTGAAATTACTAAACTTAAATATACAAGCTTGAAAATGATAATTTTAGAAGAAAATTTCAAATGGCACTTAGAGGCTTTTGCATCTGAACTCTTCATATACATGAACATCAAAATGAAAATTCATACAAAGGTGATATTTCTTAAATGTTTCATGTGCTCCCCAAGACTGCAATTATTTGATCAAAAATACAAAACAGTAATATTATGAACTTCATTAATTGTATTACAAAATATTTAAAAATGCAATATATTCCTGTGATGGAAAAAGCTTCCAATTTCTTTCAGCATCATTACTCCAGTCTTCAGTGTCACACGATCCTTCAAAAATCATTCTAATATGCTGAATTTGCTGCTAACAATTATGCTTATTGTTTCTTTTGCTACTTTATATTTTGTTTAAACAGTGATGATTGGTGAATAAAATATTCAAAAGAAAAGCATTTATTTGAAACAGAAATCTTTTGTAACATTATATCAAATTACTTTACAGTTATATGGAATACATTTAATGTTTAATTTGTCCTTGCTGAATAAAAGTATACATTTCTTAAAAGAAAAAAAAAAAAAACTTTAGTTTGTGGTACATTTATTGCACCCTTCCCTCACAGAACGTTTTGTAAGTTAAAATTGCAAATATGTAGCACAAAAAAAAAAATGCTCAGTTGTTCACACTGGTGTTTCATAGTTTGAATACATTTTATTTCTCATTATAAGTACAGTTCAGTAGTTACAAAACAAAGCATCTGCCATGAAGATACAGCAACCAAATGAAAATCATACAGTCCACAAGACAGCTCAGAGGTGTGGAATGCTCATATATTAGTCCAGAATGACAGAGAGAGAGAGAGAGAGAGAGAGAGAGAGAGAGAGAGAGAGAGAGAGAGAGAGAGAGAGAGAGAGAGAGAGAGAGAGAGAGAGAGAGAGAGAGAGAGAGAGAGAGAGAGAGAGAGAGAGAGAGAGAGATGCTCAGTTATACTACACAGAGGAGGGAGCCAGAGGTGTGCTCATCTATAACCAGTGTATATAGGGATTGGTCAATACATATCCTATCACTGACCCCCCCTGTCATAAGTCCTTTACCTTACCGTAGCCTGTACTAGTTTACTGAAACTAGTTCACTAAACAGCTTCACTTTGAGACTTTATTTATTTATTTTTTTATTTAATCGTAGCATTTACAATAAGACATAACCTTGTTTGGAAACTATAAAAACAAGTTCAATTTTCAGAGATGTGTTTTAATTTTTTTGTATTTCTTTTATTTTTTTGCAAAGAGGACAACTAAAGAATATATCTGAAGAGACTGGACTCGAACGCATCAGTCTACACACAATGACTTCGATGAAGTTCATTGAATTGATTCTCAAAGCAACATAGATGACCATCATAAGATGAAATAGTTTGAACTACACAGACCAAATCAGCAGAGTTCACAAAAGATTAGAGAGAATATCAGTCCACAACGTCAAGGGACGCACAAACACGCACGCACACACGCACCTTCATTTTCCGTTAGCGATCTGCGTACTGTATAGACTGGATTTTCATTTACTATCACAGTGCAAAATACTTCAGGGGGGAAAACCTCAGTTTGTATCTGCTTGCATGAGGCATATGGGTATATATATACTGTATGGGTTTATATGCTTGCAGCAACAGAAGAAGATTGTCAAATCTTTCTCTTTTTTTTTCCTGTTCTTTTAATGTTATTGGTATTTTACAAAGGTGAAAGGCAAAAATTACAGTACTAGAGAAGAATACTCCAATCTAATACCTACACTCTAAAACAGCTAGCTTTGTAAATGCAACAACGCATGACTGTATCTATGGCTAGACAATACTTGTTTCTTTTTTTCTTTTCTTTTTCATTAATAATTGAATACATCAAACCATTTCAGTAGTCAGTAACACTTTGCAACACTGATTGGTGGCAGTATATTACAAACACAATCTCATAACCAGAGTACTTGAAGTGAGCAAGACTGAGATCAAAGCATGTAGGGTTAGGGGCCGCGTTTCTGTTTGATTTCTGCAGGCTGCGCGTTCGCAGTCTCCTTGGCTCGTGCCGTTTCATCAGACACGCTCGATGTAAACTAGTTCTTCCGTCACCTCGGCTGTTTTTTTGTTTTGTTTTTTTGTCTCGAGTGCTACAGCGTCCTCTTTCTCAGGAGTTCAGCTCTGAACGTCTCACAAACACAACAAATCGTGAAATCACAGAGCCAGTTCTCAAAGAAAAAGGCGTAGCTTCCCTTTTTTAAACGCAGTGTTCTCGTTTCCTGAATGTACTGGATTGTCATTCTTCTGTTTTGACGTCCAGGCACTGACTGCTAAGAGTGTGCTGAGTTTTTGACAAGGATGTGCTTGGTCTCCAAACGTGTAGCGAGTTGGTCCAAACGTCCAGAGGAACGGTTTAGGAAGCCTCAGACAAATAACACTGGTGAAGATTCAGTGGGCAATGAGAAACACCGACATAGAGAGGGAGAGAGAGAGGGAGAGAGAGAGGGAGAGAGAGAGAGGGAAGTCTGTACGGTTTCTCATTTTCTCATTCTGAGACTGGCAACTCTCCACCATCTTGGTTCAAGGAATGTGTTGCTCTGAGGGACAAGCACTTCAATGTTTCCTCACTAGGTCAAAGTCAAAAAAGCAATTAAAAACACAGAAAGTATTTATCAGCTACACAAGGGAGGATTCAAGACACATAAAACACAGGAAGCAAAAAAAAATGTTGTTTTTTTTTTCCCCTCACTGTTTCCAGCTCACTAAACATCAACAGATCTTCTTCCCTCCATCCAGCGAGAATGCTCGTGTAGGAAACCATCTGAGCTGTCCAATTTATTAGTCTTTTTTTTTCTTCTCTCTCTTGAAGTCTTTTACGTTAAATAATGCTTTTGATAAGATAATGTCCTTCATTGTCACAATCCTCGTCCTCTTTTCCGTCGCCTGCTCTTGGCCGCTCAGTCCAGTAGGGGGAGGTGATGTTAGTTTCTGATTAGTCCTGCATCTCTGTGTCAGTTAGGCTATGTTCAGGGGTAAGAGCAGGACCAAACCTTCGGGACGCCTCTTCCTCCGCCCACAGATGAACTAAGGTTAAGAGAACAAACGCAGATTAACACCACGGCCTATGTCCTTCCCCTCTCTCTCTCTCTCTCACTCAAATATATAACTTTTGACAGACCATCATTAACAGAAAACAGGAAAGAGAGTCAAATCAAACCATATTATTATGTTTGCTATCATTTATTTTAAATTGGCATCTCAGAAGGACATAAAATTCAAATAACTATTATTAGCCTGTGATAATGACTAAAACATGTTTTATAAAGAATTCAACTGACTTAAGGTCCATCAAATGTGGCCAAAATGTACATCCTTCGATTCCCTTGACTAAAAACAAATGTTTTGAACAAAAATGAATCACTTAATTATGATTTTCAAAGCAGTTATTATGAGACAAAAAAAAATGGTTTTGGGTACATTTGGAAAGAAATGAACGACCACTGTAATGCTTGTGTGTGTTTAAATGTAGACTATTAACCTCTCCATTCATTCCTCTAATGCCACTAAAGAAAACGCATCTTGTGAATCGTATGATAAAATATTAGATATGGGAGGAGGATAATTTGAACACTTTCAGACTTCTTCAGCTCTAATATAAAGATATAAATATATAAAGTCTTCTAATATAAAGACAATAACTCTGTGAACATTGCACTTGTGCAATTACTGCTGAAGTTTGAATCCGGCGAAAATGCTTACTGCTTTTTTTTTTTTTTTTCCTATTTATGTGCTATCGTCGTTTGAACTAAATAATATAAATGTTGTTTAATTCCCTCTACAACCTCTAAGAAAATTATTTGGCAATAAAATCTACAGAGTGCATTTCCGAGTCGTGTTCTTTTAAAGTGCCTCTATGAAAATGACAAAATGAAATTAAAACATGCATTTATTTGAGTGTGCTCTCGCAAGAAATGTTATGGAAATGAAACGAGGAGTCAGTTCCCCGCTAATAATGGAATAAAACATCGTCATTTAGATTTGCCAAAGAGCAATAACGCTGACGCCCACTCGCTTTGCATTATGCACACATCTCAGATGTGCTCTTCTTTAACAGACACACTTTCCACTCAGATGTCAGGCGCTTCTGAAATTGCTTATATAGATTAAGAAATATAATTAACCACTTTTGTGTTCTGAGATAGAAATTATTCTTATGCAAATATTTTTTTTCAATAATCGCACATCTTTTTTTAAGCACAAATGCCACTACTCTACTTATATATGAAAGTAGACTGTACAAAAATATAGCATCAATAGATTATGAATAGATTATATTGTTTTTACATAGCTTTAACTCATCAAAATAAATTAAGCAATTTTCAACTTCAATTATGTATTTTTTAGGTAATATAAAATTGAAAAACATAACATTTTAAATGTAGTTTTAAAGGTAATGCAATTTAAGTTGAAAAAATGACTTAAACATCCAAGTTGATTTTACAAATCACTTTTTTTACAGTGATTTGTTAAAAAATAAATAAATAAATAAATTAAAAAAAAAAAACAGTTTTCAGTTACTTTTGCCTTACAGAAATACCCTATTCCCAGTCAGCTATAAGTAATGTATTCCATAAACAAAAAAGTGTCCAATAATACAGTGTACAAAGAGAGTAGTATTCGACTGGTCATGTGATCTCAACATGTCATAAAATAAAACAGCTTTTACTAGCTAGGCCACTTTTTTTTGTCTGGAGTCTTAATATAATGTGTAACCTACATAAAAAAAAAAAAAAAACTTAAAATAAATACCAAAGATAAGCAAAGCAAACCACTGATTTCTTTCAACCGTTCAGGCTGAAGGGTGCAGTGCACACTTTGTCCAAGAGATGGCAGTATGAGCCCTCGAATTATCTTTCCGCCCAACTTCATGTTGAAAATAAGATCTTGTTACTCAATGTCAATTTCCTTTAACCTGCTGATATTTCATGTTAATCTACAGATAAAGTGTTTGATATTTATCAAATCTGAAGTGATTGGCAGTGTTTTGTACAGCTATACTGTGGTCGCGGCTCTACAGCTGTCTGCTGGCATTTTTTTTTTCCATTGTGCGTCCATGAGGAAATTAAGATAATCATAACCATAATGATAATAAATTATGTTCTCAGGTTTTAAAACGCCTGGTCTCCCAGGGGCCAGTGCTCTTGGTGACTTCCTCTTAAAGAAAGTTCTGGTAATGAGTTACAGATTCCGCCCCATATTTGATTTTCACTCTTCATTAACTAAGCCACCTGGAATGTTATTATTTAAGGACGCCATTTCTTTTCCCCAAACAACTGCCACTGCGATCTGGAGACTAGCACACCAACTTTACGATCCTAGCAACTTTTTCCTCCTCCTGTTCCGATCAATTTTGAAGCCTCCCTGTCCGCATGTGGAGTGATTGCTTAATTATTTTGCCACCCTAGAAGTATTTATCATACTCTGGCCTGTCACATTATGTTGTCATCAGTCTATTTTTTTTCATAGCTTGAATCATGCGTCTTTGTTTGTGTTTGCCCAAACATTAGTTTTCTTTGTCATTATTTCAATACAAATGAAAAAGAAAAGTTAAATTATTTTTACATGATCAACAGGAGAACTTTAAATGGTAGGGAAAATGACACTACTTTTACCACTGAATCAAAGCGAAGGAATAAAATGTGGCGCCCTCTACTGCTCAAGTGTGATAATACACTCTCACTGTGAGACAAGAGAGGGCCCTGGAAAGTAATACAAGACATATGGTAAGAGGACACATAGCTCCAGGATCCATCTTATGTTAATACAAGTGTCATGCTTAACAGAATGGCTAAATGAAAAGGCAGACAGAACAATAGCACAGCACAAGGCTGGAAGCAAGCTCAGTTAACAAGGGCCAGCACACTTGGGGAAAAGCGGGGCTGTCTGAGTCAAAGTCCTGACATTTCCTAACTGCTTCTTATTATTCCCGGACCACAGAGTTAAGGCGAAGAGCGCTCCCATCTAAAACACAGGGCCGCTTTATACCCTGACCTCCCTCAGGTATTCTATTTTTACCATGAAATCTACTTAGTGAATATTTGTGTTTCAAAGGCCTGCTCGTTTTAGGTTTCCTGGGAACAGGGGTCATTTAATTGGAGGGAAACGCGAGGATATGAATTTCAGAACTTTTGAATACATGTTTAAACAATCAGATAAGGCAGACCATGCATTATGGAAAGGAATCGGGAACATTTATTTTGCACGTGCCCTGCTATTTTTACCGCATTATGTAGCTACTAAGTGCTTAGTCTAATATCCTCTGTTTACAGGAAAACTTCAGTTCAGCTCTTTTTGGTAGTCTAAAAGTCTCTGTTTTTCGATATGAATGAAGTCTAGATGTAAGTGATGTGGTTCACCATCATCTCCTGCTGAACACAAACACAACACACACCGCACATTCTGCCATGGAGGGTGGCTTTGTTCTCTCCCAGGCATCCGGTGCTGCTGGAAAAGAGTTGTTTTTGGCAAAGGTAGACCTCATTGTACAGCCCAGTATTTATAAATATGTAAATACGAGTCAGCGTGCGAATACACACACATATAAGCGGGCCGAACGCAAGGAAGTGCACCCAAATCATATTTTTAGAAGGTTTTAATGAATACAGGATGTTTATGAATACCATTTGTGGGGATTCACAAAGACTAGAAGAATCCTCGCACACCACCCCTCTCTCTCTCCCCTCAAAGCGTAAAAGAAACCCAACGTTTCTGGAGGAAACGGCAGAATTGTACGTTTGGCGCTTGTGTGGGTTCAGATTGCCTTTAGATAAGTATACGGAGAAGCAGGCGACCTTGTGCTCGTGGCACTCTTGAAAAAGTCCTCTGCTTTTTTCGAGTTAAAATGCATCAAGAGGAAAGGACGACTGTGAAGGTAAAACAAACAGCGAGTTTGTTCCTCCGCCGGATGACTAGGCAGCAAATAAACCTGCCTCAGATGATGGAGAACGACACAAAAACTGTTTGACTTGCACATATTAACCAGAATAAGAGCAACTACCACACGCCATCCAGACTCTGACTACGCCAAGAAAAGAAAACGGAGAAAACGGAGGGCTGGGATGTGGATGTGTCTCGCTCTCTGACTCAGTCTATTTCTGGGGCAGAGATTCTCACACTGATACTACCTCCACTGAGCAATTTAAAGCCAAACACTGATGTTGCAATCTGTCTTCTGTGCCTGATAGCGCTTTTCTCCCTCTCTAACCCAAATTACTTTCTTTTCATATCTAATTATATTTGCTAATGATCTTATAAGGGGATAATGGAATGTGCTTGATCTATTACCTTTTTTTGCAATACATAAATACAATACAAATGGCTATGCAGCACTTTGAAATTTTCCATCATCCATTTCAAGCAAAGCCAAGGGAGGATATTTAAACAATATTTGCAATTTTACCACTTCTGCAACACAAATCTCTTCGCTCGTTCGAAGCTACTAACAGGGGACACGAACGCGGTGCAGTGGAACAATTTGTCCGACTACTCTGACGAACAAAATGTGTTTGTTTCATGGCTTGAACAGCCTTGTGTGCTCATTCACTAGCAGGTTGTGAGGGGCGACCCTCAGGCCATGACCTCCGTCCTGGCACGTGAGTGCCGCTAAATAAATGAAAAGACACGTTTCATGAACAGATACAGCCGTTTTTAACCAGCATCCACACACATCTCAAAGTTTCATCCGGACTCCGGGCGATCTTTCAATCTCTCCGGAGGTCATCTATCCGTTTCTGTGCACTGTTGTAATGAATATTCCCGTCGGCCAAGCCCCGCCCTGGTCTAAGCCTCTCCCAATTCTTCCCTCAGTCTTTTTCCCACAGGCCCGGCGATGGCCAATGCATGACAGCCGCACTAAACCCCCGGCATTAATGGAAGGAAATGGCATTCGATCTCCATTTGATCGCGTAATCATTTCTGCTGAAATGATAATTAGTGTCTTCACAATCCTCTGACTGTGAGAGAACAGTGTAAAATAAAACAGAGCTCTCGCAGAAACGGCACTTCACTCAACAACCGTTGTGCGC